TTCTTGCATTTAGTCATACAGCAAATGAGACTGCAGATTACTAAGACAGGGAAACGATGTGGTCCTTTACCAAGTCCAGGAGCTACAGATTGTTTTAAGTCATGAACATAAGGCATTAGTGGCTCTGAGTAGAGAAAGAAAATTAGATTAATCTCCTGTTACGTTTTCTGCCATCTTCCTATATATTCTCATCTGATGCCACTTCACTTTACTCTATCTCTTTGAGGTTTAGGAGGCGTTTTTCCCTCCTTCCTTTCATGGTTCTGCCTGGTAGCTTGCTAGTGTCAGGACCCTGCTCATTCTCTTCCAATTCTCCTTCACAGCAGCTCTTACTGTTTCATGCACTATGATCAGTGGTGCTTTTCCCAAGGCAAGAACCTGGGATTATTTTTCTTTATTAAAAATTCAAATTTTAAAAAAAAGAACAATTTTATTTTCAAACACCCAGTTCTACTCTTCAACAGAAAAGAAGACCTTGAAAACACTGTGAAAACACTGCCCCTGTTCCCTCTACAAGTACCATAATCAGAAGGCAGACACAGGGTCCAATCATGAAGTCTCTCACTCTTTTAAGACATCTCATATTTATGAGGGACCATATGGACTGAGGTGTTGCTCTTTTTCACTTTCTACTAGTCAGTGAGAGCTAATGGAGCATAAGGTGTTCCTGCAAAAGCAAATTGCAGCAACAGAGGAATTTTTTTCCTGCCTATGTCCTCTTCAGTGTTTCTTTGCTGGCTATCTACAACAGTAACTCAGACAGCAAGAGAATTTTTCCTCTATCTTTTGATTTTCCTGGTCTCTGAGTAACTTTGCCATTGCCCTTTATAGACTGCCACAGCATCTGCCCCATACCAGGCCTGGTCCTTGCCATAGGAGACAAGAAGAAGAGGGGCTGGAAGACCCTCGGTTGGTGTCTGAGGTTTCCAGCATGCTCCACAGCCTGGACCATTTCCAGAAGGAAGTGAATATCTCATTCTGAGCTCATGAGAAGCACAAAGCACTTGGCCATGAATGACTGAAATAACCTGACTTAGAGCAGCTCTAAACAAGTCCATCATTTCACATGCAAAATCTGACATTTCCTGCAAAGATGGAACAGAAGCAGGAAGGTATCTAACTTGATCACCATGTATACCTGAGGACACTTTCCTCCTATCCCCACTACTTCACAGGAACAAGAAGATTGTAACTGGTCACAATGGAGATGCTCTGCCTTTCTCGTGGTTGATGATGTTAACAAATCTGGATGTTGTGATAACTTTCTCAGTCATAGATCAGTGATAAAATCAACAAGGTATAGCATTGGTCTGGAATTATCTGCTCTTCTTAGGGATTCTGTTTCATTTATCCTGTTCCTAATCAATCCTTGAAGTTAATCCAGTTCCACTTAAGCAGTATGTCCTCCTAAACATCTCTAGAATAATCCTAAAGTGCTCTTCTATCATCAGATAATGACACAAAACAAGAAAAAGTGGTACTGGATACCCTTCGAGTTATGAATTACAAGTCATTGCCATCCTTTTGACATAGCTGGTGTCGGAGTATGCCTGCAAGAACAAGTAGCTGTTGTCACTGACTTTTTAGAATACTTTCTGGCTATCTGTAGTTTTATTAAATCTGTATTTGCTATGGCAACAGCACCTGATTGTCTTCTGATACTACTGACACAGAGACTGACAACTCCCAGATGTTAATACAGCTGTCCAGATAGGATGTTATATCATGCCTCCTTTGGCAAAAAAAAAAAAAAAAAAAATAAAATGTTCCCCTGCAGTTGTAAAAGAGCAAATATTTCATACTACTTGAAGAAGATCAATCGAGCATCCAAACCAACTTTTTTTGTTCACACGCAACTGCTGAAGAAAGTATAACATGGCTTTTAAAACATGAAGAGCATTTAGTGGTGACTACTACAGACCTCAGTATCCCTGAGTAGTGTTGCTATGTAAGTCAGGGATGTTGAGGGGCTCCAAGCACAAGTTTCAGGTCTGTTTTCCTGGCCTATGGCAGGTGTCCATGGCAGAGTGCAATTGAGACACTTCACCTCCAGAATGGCTTCCCAGCTGTGCCTCAGAGCAGCAGACTTAACAGCAACCAGGCCCCTGGTCTTCAAATGCACCCTGATCGGGGATTGCTTTTTCTGACACTGCCCATGGTAAAGCATTTTGCAAAAGACTCCAAGCTGATCTAGTAACTAGAAGTAATCTCGTGGCTAGATGACAGCTGCTGCTTGGGAGTCTAAACTCAGATCTTACTCCACTGCTTGCCTCCCCATGCCTCATTTCACAGGAAAGCATCCAATTTCTGTGCACAGCAACATCAATGGAGGCCCAGAGATAGAGTTTGTTTATTCAGGGCTGTGTGTAGTTAGGGCCAGGTGAGTGAAGACTGTGGTCCTGTGGCTCCAAGAGATGTGTTATCCATGAGCATCATAGCTTGCTCCTCTTAGCAGTTAGGCTTCTCTGGTCATGGGGTTAATGGAGACTGTCAAGTCATGGTCATATCGGAGAATGTGCTAGAGGTGAAGAGGGACAGCAGCCCTTGTAGCTGTCATCAAGTTATAGGTTTCAGCTGGCTGGTATGAGGGCTAAAAACTGCCAGGAACAGAGATGCCAAACCAGCAAACTGGAGGAAGATTGAGCCATGCATTAAGAGAGGTGCATGGAAGACAGCAGGAAGTCTTCTTCACCAGTTATCCTGACTGCTGCAGGAAGACCATGTTTTGCTGCCAGGGAAGAGAGAATGTAGGATTAAACCCTGGTAGGAAAGATTAGAAAATGCTGAGTGGGTATGGACACAATTTCAGAGCCAGGAACATTTTGTCTTGTGGATGTATCCACCCAGTTTTGGAGCCCTTCCTTCCCTTACAGGAGAACCAACACTGATCTCAGACCCAGCTAGGTCTTGGCCATCCCTATCTGCTTCCAGATTGTAAGGACAGTCATGTTTTCAATCAGAGACCCATGGGCACATGATCTAGAAATTCCTTTGTGAACAACGGCCATTAAGTCTATCTTCTCTTGTCAAAGAAAAGGAGGCAACAACCTTCGTCATATCTCCAGCTAGAGATGTGGAAGGCTAACAGCTGCGCCAGTCATTGCTACTTTCTTCCTCCCCTTTCACTGTTGGTTCTTCAGGTCTGGCAAAATCCAGCCTTAGAGTAGATCTGAGCATTTCCAGGGCTTTGCAAATTCTCTCTGTGATAATGAATGCAGCACCTACCTGGGCTACATAAATTTACTTACCAGATTTCACAGGTATCTTGTGAGATTTGAGTGCCTGACATTAATATATAGGGCTGAAGTCCTATTCCCTATGTCCTTCATCCATACTTTCCAACTGAAAACTTCACTGTACATTGAACAGAACACTCCCACCCTCTCAAAATGCAGATGACACACACCCAGATGCCTTCATTGATTATCACAGGGCAAAAACGTAAGACATCTCTCTTTATGGGTGCACAGCTCCCCTACAGTTCCCAATCTGTTCCTGAGAGAACTGTTTTACGTTTACTGGCAGGTCTACACAGCGGTTTCCTGACCACTGTTTCTGGGTTTACAGCATAAAGAAAACTAAACCACAGGAGTGTGAATTCCCCTACTAATCATTGTCTGGGATATTGAGTCAGATAATAACAAGTTGTTTCCAAGTTTAACCAGGTGACTTATTTTCCAAGGATATGTGTAAAATCTTAGCAAACACCATTTTAAGTGGACCGCTTCAGGCCTTTGAAGACTGGTGGCATCAAAATGCATAGAATTTAAGCAAGTTATTTAATGATTCATGGCAGTAATTAAACCAACAATTTCAGCACTGCTATATTTCTGTTATAAGGGGCAAGTAACAACTTCCCTGAAATCTGAGTTCCTGGTTTGCTTTGGTACTGCCTGGCTGCTGCCTCTGTCCTCTCAGGAGTAAGTGCAACAGAGACTTTTAAATTCATCTCATCCTTGGCAATATTCTTCTAATCCAGCTACATAATTCATTTTCCCATGGCATGCCACTTGAAGCAGTTGCAGCACTGGTTTCAGGAAGGCCTGAGAACCTCATTATTATGAACAAGCTTTTTGCTGCAGTGGAATTTGCTATTAAGAAACACAGAACAAGACTTGCCTTGGAGCTTGTGTTGAATTTTTTACTTTTTCTGCAGGCTGCAGGAGGGAGAGCAGGGAGTGGGAGGAGGCTGTAGTCTGGGGCAGTGTGATGTGCTCTCCCACACTGCACCATCATATCAGCCAACAATAATGCTCCCTGGTATTTTGCCACTGAAACCTTCAAATGTCGTTACCCCTGTGCGTAATTCTGCTTTACACTCCAGTACATCAACCTCACTCCTGGCATAAGGATGCTCTACGGCTGTTTAGAACAAACAGCTTCAAGGTCTCAGTTTTGATTTTCAAGACCTTGATTTTTTTTTCTGCACAGCAAGTTTAAATTTAGCTCTCAAGAAGGGTGTAGTGTGCTTTTTTTTCGTAGGAACCAGATGAAATGGTCTTGAGGGCTAAGAAGAATAATGAAAAATATGCCTAGCCACTTGTGAGTAGTAGTGGGACAAAGGTGGGGAACTAGTGACACTTTCTGAAGGGGTCCAGTGGCACCATGAGGACAGCATCACCCTCTAGGAGAGGCCAGGAGGCGCAAGATTGGGGATGCTAGTGTTCAGTGGGTGTTGTCAGCTTGACTTCTTGCAGCTTGGGCAATGGGAATGGAGCATTCCTTACCATGGGGTTCTACATTCCTCTCCAGGGACAAAACCCAAGCAGTTTCTACCTTTCATTGGTTATAGCCCTTCCCTCACTGGAAAGGAGGGAGCTGAGAAGATACACTGATAACCCCAAAGGCCTCAAATGCTCCAGTGTAGCAGACCAGAGAAGAGAGTGTTTGGATGGGATGCACTGCTTCTCAAATGTAGATCTCAAGGCATGGCCAAGGAATAATATTTGCTCTTTGTTTGTATTTTACCCTCCTTAACCAATTCCCTCTTTTGCTCGCAGCTCAGTATTTTGCCAGTATCATGGTCATCGTTGGTCTGTCTGTGGTGGTAACAGTGCTGGTTCTGCAGTTTCACCATCATGACCCACAAGCAGGAAAGATGCCCAAATGGGTAAGCAGCTTGGGTGGTAAATATTCAACAGACTACTACTGAAAGAAAAAAATAAATCTAAAAGCTATAGTAAACGAGTTACAGATGAGAGGCAGAAGTTGTTCTCCATTCTACTAAAGAGTCAGCTACAGACAATATATTAGATGCTTATGTTTACTCTTGGAGGGAAAGAACAAACATATTATATTTGCTTTTCCATAAAAAAACAGTCTCTCTTATTTGGCTTTTTTATTTAAACTTGCAATGGTGGTTGAGTGAAGACCAAGTAATTTCACTCAGCACCCACTCTGCAAGTGCTAATCCTGTGCTCAGTATGTTTGATATCTTATCCAGCAGACAATGGTGACATTTCAAAGCACTGAACAAACACAGGTTTCTACTGGGCAGTTTGCTATCTGATCTCAGTGCATTAGTGTGTGGACCCCTTTTTCTCTGCAACAGCAGACTTTGTTAGCTGCTGTATCACTTAAAATTCTCTTCCTTTAAAGACATCAAAGCATGTGAATTCTGGATGAACCTGCATGTAAACAAAACCTGAGGGCACAAATCTGGGGAAACATGCTACAGATGTCTACAAGGACAGGGTATGCTGCAGTGTAACAGGCCTCATAGACAATTTTTATTGTTTTGTGTGGTTTTTTGAGGCACCTAGACACAATGGCCCGTGTTAAACCTGCGCACTGGCCCTGACAGTCAGCTTTTGTTCTCTACCACTCTCTTGATTTCTTGGCTGGAAATATGGCAAGCAACAATTCTCTGCTCTGGAGGACCCTTGCTCATGTCCTGAATGCAAAAGTGGCATACATTACAAAACATAACATCAGGAAGCAGAGACTGGAAAACACTACCAGGAAGCACAGATGATGGACTGTAAAAGGCGAAGACCAGGCAAGCTGAAGGGCTGAGGGATCTCAAGAGGAAAAGGGTGAATTCCAAATGTTTAGGGAAGAGGCTGATCCCACAAAAGTAGGCATTTGTCCTCAGAGACATGGGCAATGCTCAGACATGAAGATTCATGGCAATCTCCTTTTTTTCATTTCCCCTGTCCACCTATGTCAGGTGTTTCTTACAAAGGCACCTTGAAATACTTTTCCTTAGTAAAAACCAGTAATCTAGGATAGCCAACTTCATAAAGAAAGAAATTTCTTACTTGAAATTTGTTTTTCGTTGTTCCAGTACCAGCAGAAACCCCTACCATCCCCTTACTCTCCACAATACTCTCATCCCGACAGAGCCTGTCATCAATTTGTAGCAAAACTCTAACACTGATTCAGGGTTGTTCTCACCTCCTGCTTAAATGGAATTATCTGCTGGAGTAAGTTGCTGGGCAAGGCATTGGACCATTGGGCTTGCATGGGAGCAGCTGCAGATCCAGAAGATTTGGCTCTCTGCATCGCTTAAATACCTGCTTTCTAAACTATTCGCAGTTGTGCAAATAATTTTCTCCTGGCTGTCTCTCAAGGTGTCTGTGCTTGGCCTTTGCCCCAGAAGAGGGAGGGGAGTGCCAGTTAGTGCTGAGCCTTTCTGGAGGTGTTTACTTTTTCCCTTATTCCAGTGCTGAATATTGTGCCTTCCTTTATATTAATCTTTGATGACATACTATAGCCAGCTTTTTCCAAGAGAGGAGTTTAAATCCAAGGTGTTCAGTCAGAGCATTTGTTGATTGCTCAGTTGGGAAGCGAGGACTGCTGGCTAACTGACACTTTTGATAATGCCTGCTGAGCTAGCATGGAAAAGAGCAGTAAAGAAGGATCCAGCTAAGGAGCTGTTTGGGAGTGGATGACATCAGGCATGGACTACAGCTCAACTGACCTATCTCTACTGACAGTATAAAAGAGATATATGGAGAGACCAACTACTGAGAGAAGAAAGGGTTTTGTGGGAAAAGGCAAGAACACTCTGGCTCTTTGCTTTGCCTAAATGAAGTTTGTTCTGTTTCAGACTCTTCTTCTGATACACTTTAAACCAGGACATGTATAGGTTTGGTGTTGATGCCCCTTATCAAGAGAGCACCAATTGGAGAGTCTCCTCTGGACTAGGCCAGGCTGACATGGGAGGTAGCAGGACAGCTGTATTATGGTTAGGAGAGGACCTTAGTGAACCAGGTCACAGCAGGGTTAGGCTGTTGACCTCTGAAGGCAGCTGTAATGTGTCCTTCCTTCATAGAAACCCAGATATGACAATGCAGGTGAGGAAACAGATTCACACCCAGTCTGTTTTCCAATAACCGGTATGCTGCAGTTGTCTCCTGAATCAATTGGTATGGCAAAACCAGATTGATGCCTGAATGTCTGTGTTTTCAAGAAAATAAGGCATTTGAAAATCCAAGCAAGTTAAAAGCTGTGTTGCTGTCTTCTGAATATTTATTTTTCTGTGGGAAATGGGTTCAACTGTATTTATCAATACCCTTTCCCTAAGGATTAAGACGCATCTCCTTCCAGAGCTAAGCCAGACAAATTAACATTTGCTAATAAGAAAGTTTGTGCAGCTTATTACGTTGGAATTTCATAGTCCTGGGGAATTAGTTTCTCTCTTCCCTGTGCCATTGACACGAGGAACATATTGATAGTAATTAAGACCTCTATTTTGTTCCATATTGCCCCATTTTGTGTCCATGAGCAGTCAGAATACATTGTAGTAAACTAAGTTCAATTAAATGTAAGGATCAGTTTTGTAGGCTGCAACATTATAGGTGTCTGTGGTGACCACGGAGGAAATAATGAAACATGTTAAGAACCCAGTGAAAGCACATTAATATGAATCACAGTAAAACAGTGTTTCGGGACTGTTGTGGTTTAAACCCAGCTGGAAACTAAGTACCACACAGCCACTTGTTCACACCCCCCACCTCTCTCCCCTGATGGAGAGGACAATCAGAAAAAAATCACATTATTTTGTGGGTTGAGATAAGAACAGTTCAAAAATTAAAACAGACTATGATACAATGATATCACTAATATTTCTGGTAATAAAATATTTATAGTAATAATTAGCAACAATAATGAAAATAATAATAACAGCAGGGAAAATAAGAGAGAGAGGAATAAAACACAAGAGAAACAAGTGGTGCACAGTACAATCACTCACGTCCTGCTGACTGATGCCCAGCCTGTCTCCAAACAGCCCCCAATCAACTGCCCCCAGTTTATACCCCTTTCGAATATCCTTTTGGCCAGTTCAGGTCAGCTGTCCTGGCCATGCTCCCTCATGGCATCATACACACCTGCTCACTGGCAGAGCATGGAGAGCTGAAAAGTCCTTTACTCAGGGTAAGCGCTATTAGCAATAGCTAAAACATCAGTGTGTTATCAGCATTATTCTAAATCCAAAACACAGCCCTGTCCCAGTTACTAGGAGGAAAATTAACTCTATCCCAGCCAAAACCAGGACAATGATGAAGAATAAAAGATTTATTAGTGGGAAAGAAGCAGAATGGCTCAGAACATGGTGTGAGGCTGGGACCCAGAATAGCTCACATTGCAGAATTTAAAAATTGTGTAACTGTTTTCCACTGTTTTGTCTTTCATTATTATTATTGTCATTATTCCAATCTGTGGTTATTAACAATGCCCTCTTTCTGAAATTATGTTTGTCATTACAGCAGCAAATCAAAGTGCTAGCTGTAATTTCCCCATTTCTGTATCTGCACTGTGCAATCACAGGAGTCAACCCATCCTGCAGCTAAAACAACTTTGGAGGCAAATTGTGGTCCTAAGTCAAACATGACCAGAGTGACTGGAGCAGGTTTACACAGGGAGTCCTGGGCTAAGCTCCAAACTAAAACCAGAGGCCTCATCTGTTCTCTCCTGGACATCAGATTATTTGACTTGACACCAGGATAATAAAATCATTAAAGAGAACTGTGTGCATGGAGAGTCTTTCACAAGCACATTCCAAACACTCATTTTGTATACAAAACATTTGGAGGACTTTTGATTGCAGGATTTTACTGATTTAGTTTGCTGCCCTTTGCACAAGATGTTACTGAATCCACAGCCTTTTTACTGACTTTCACAGTTAGTGATGCTACCAATAGGAATTCTAGCAAGCTCAGATATCAGATAAGACATCCAAAGATCAATACACTGGGAAAATATTCTGGATGCACTCTCAAGACTTGGCTCATTTGATGACCTTGAAAAGAAAGATATGAGGCACAATCTGACATGCGCAGGTTTGAGTATTCTTGTGATGCACCAGAGCACAGAGAAATGACAGCAATTAATCACAGCATTCAGATTTTGACCTGCTAAATTTAATTGATTTACTCTTGCTCTTTTGAAAAAAGGCCTGCTGTATTAAGTGGTTGAAGTCTTCAAAGGAGTATTAAAATGGCCTTCAAAAATCTCACCAAAACCACCAAAGCTGTTTATTTAAACTTAAACAATAGAGATTGGGGGCAAGGAGGAGGAGAGAGGGGAGGAATGTGCTAGAAACTGTTGTTAGTCTGTTTTATAGGGAATTTTTTTCCCAGCATAATCTAAATACTGCCACCCTGCTGCCAGATATTTTTGTGTATCTCTTTCCATGTGGAATGATAAATATTTTGAAAACTATGCAGCTAAATTCGTGGTCCCTCCTCAATTGCAGAGATCTGGGATTGTTTGCTAAAGAATCATTTTGCTGTAAGAACCATCTTGTAAAGTAAGATTTTTACATCTCTTTGGTTTTAAATGCTAACTGGACATTAAACATTGCTATGTTCAACACAGATACAAAAAAGGCTGTCCTTGGTCAGAACCTAGACCCACAAAAAACCATTTGAAAGCAGGTAGATGGAGAACACAGAAATTAATCAGTATTTCTAAAAGGCCACATAGACAGCTATAACAGTCACAAAATGTTTCAAAAACTTTTAAAATGCAGGAGAGTTCCCTGTATTTCTACCATGGTAATTCTCTTTCAGGTCCGTATCATCCTGTTGAATTGGTGTGCCTGGTTTTTAAGAATGAAAAAACCTGGGGAAAATATAAAGCCCCTCTCTTGCAAATACAGCTATTCCAAGCACCACCTGAGTGTCAACAGCATGGAGGTGAATGTCCTGCCTGGGCACCAGTCCAGCAATGGCAACACGATCTACAGCTACCATGTGATGGATAGTCCATGCTGCCCCCAGAAGAATGATCTGGGCACCAAGACTGGAAAGATTACTAGCCCCTTAGCAGAAGATGTTGAGCTTGCTCAAAAGAAAGCTTTAATGGATACTATTCCAGTGATTGTGAAGATCCTGGAGGAAGTTCAGTTCATAGCAATGCGATTCAGGAAACAAGATGAAGGAGAAGAGATCTGCAGTGAGTGGAAGTTTGCAGCTGCTGTCATAGACAGATTATGCCTCGTTGCATTTACCCTTTTTGCCATCATTTGCACATTTACAATACTCATGTCTGCTCCAAATTTTATAGAAGCTGTTTCAAAGGATTTTGCATAAGGTTTTCCAAGATGAGCATGATAATTTAAAAGTGAATTTTGCCAGTAATTTTGTTAGATAATTTAACTTAAATAGAGAAGTGTACTTATATGTCCTAACATACACAAAAGGGGATGAAAATAATTTCAGGACATAATTATTCCTAATGTTAGTAATTATAGTTACTGAATAGTAAACATATTGAGCTCTGTTACTTATTTCATAGACTAGTGCCACATATAATTATGTCATGATCTGTGACAAGTGGTAGAAAAGAATTTAAATCTATGATATATTTATTACAAGCTAACACTAGTATCAATGTGTTACTATGAGTTTGTGAACTTCTGGATATTGTTAATTTAAATGATCATTGATGACTATAAGTTTTGCAGCATTTTGTTGCTTTCAGTATATTTGTGTTTTATTATTTTTATTTTGTGCGGATGTGACATGCACATCTCAGATTTGAGAGACTTATCTCCACAGTCTCATGATTCTGTATATTGTATTTATGAAAATAAACTATCATCATATTAGCTCATACTAGTGCAGTGACTGGAATGTTTTCTTGGTAAATATGTAACAGAACATATCTTTCTCAGAAATTTACATTAATTTATTTTATTTTTTTCCTAATTAGGAATTGTTAGTTGTGATGTTGGAAAGAAATTCAAGGCAATAAATACATCATTAATAGTGCCTTTTTAGCCATCTCACTGCTTAACTGTTTCTGTCACCTTGCAGCTCTACTTGATTTAAGATATATCTGATCTCCTGGAACACGGTTTCCAGCCTAATACTGAACAACTCGTGCAATTAGGGCAAAAACATGGGTCTGCATATAACGTAGTATATTGTCCACTGATTTAATTGGACTCAGATTTCACATCTCATCTGTACCATCAAAGATGTACTTTTAAAAATATTCTATTAGTACAGTTTCCTTTCCAATTTGGGCAGTAGGCATTGTTAAAGGGAATGTTTAGAAGACTAATTTTATTTTGCTAAACATTAATGTATCAATGTTTGTTACCAGTTTGCTCTTCCTAAGTACTCTCCAATACACTGTCTATACATTATTAAAACAAAATTGAATTATGCCACTTCCTGGAATATAAGGGCCAAAAAAAGCACTATTCTCAATAGCAGCTTGTTTCCACTTGCTGCTGTGGGTGGGAATGACACTTCTGTTGTGATTTTATTTTCCCTACTGATTACAGCAGAGCTACAAAAGGATACTCTGTGATGTAGACACCTTTACTCTTTGAGGTAGCACAGCATAACTCTGAAAGTTCACAAAAATAAAATAATAACCTATTGTCTTCTCTGGCTGACTTTCAACTGTTCTTTCAGTGTTGTAAAAAATTAAAATTTCCCCCATCTGCATGATGGGATCCTTCCCAGCATCACTGTTGGATAGAAAGAAGCATATCATGGTCTTATTACTCAGTGGAAAGTACTTCCATCTCAAAGGTGTTGGTGAAGGTGGTTGTTCTACAGATTGAAGAAATATGCTACTATTTGTTTAGGAATAAGGTGTGTGAGATGTTCAACTATGGTCTTCATTAGGTGGTAATAGCTCTTTTTAAACAGAGATTTCACTGTAATGAATATTACCTCTGTAGCTCTAAGATTAGATCATCAGACCAGTGGATACATCACACTGTTTGGAGTTCTGTTCAAAGCAGCACCTAAGGAGGTTGACTTAAGAAGATCCTGACTACCATGACCTGCTTTATATTTCACTTAGCTTTTGTGGTTGCTTCAATTCTAGTTGAAGCTCCAAGGGGTAACAATGGCTTGTAGCAAGATCATAAAAGCCTCTACTGAAAATTCTGTCCATATTTCAGAGAGATTTTCTTTTCCTGCGTAGGAGCAACAGTGCTCTAAGTAGCTCTTTCCAAGCCTGCAGAAGAAAAGTCTCATGATATCTGCTTCTTTCTCCTGCCCATTTTGCTGCTTCTGCTTACAAACTGTCCTTGCTGAGGTACAGAATGTAACTCAAGAAGGGTTTGCCTAATAGATGCATCTCAATGAGCAGCAGAATTAGTCTGGGGGATTGAGTTAGTTATGCCAAGCTCCACTCCTGGACAGAAGCTGAAATTTCATTTATACTTTTAGTTATGGGGATAACTGATAGATAAAATATCTAAATATGCAATTACTTCTGCAGCTTGTGATGCAAGATGCTAAATGAACTTTAGAGCACTTGTGTAAGGATTATTAGTACTTTTTCTTGAAGAGCATTTTTTAAAGTCATCTCCAGTGACAGGATAAAAACATAAAAGGCAGTATTGAAGCACACAGTCACAATAACTTAGCCTCTTGATGCAAAGCATATTTTGTTACATGAAACAAGGAGCTGTTGTATAAGAGTATATTTAACTGGATGCATACATCATAAAGAGGATGGAAACTATCTGAAAACACGAGTGGAAAAAAAACCTGAATCGCTTTTTAAATTTATAAAAGCCAGTGTAAATATAAGAATTCAATTTACAGATTACTATCTTATACCTTAGATTGCCATGGCTGGATTGTCTCTTATGGAAATGTCCTAAAACTCAAATTGTATTAGTAGTATGCAGTTTACAGCCCCTTACACTGAACTGAAACTGCTTGCTGATTACTTTTTCGGATCACATATAAGTAAGATCCTTTTGATATCCAGTTGTCATTTGGCCTTTTGAAAAGCAATAACATTGTTACCACAAAATTTGCAGAATCACCAAGTGCAAAATGGCACAGAAAAATGGTTACTGTTCAGAGAGAACACTGCAGAATAAAGTGTGAATGCATTTTAGTTTTTCTTGACAGCTACAGTACACTTGGAGGGATTGATACATCATCTGTACATACTGATTTGCAGTTCTTCATGGTATCACCAGTTAGTGGCACAAATTATCTAATGTCAAAAGAAGGAAATATTCCTAAATTGATTGCAGAGGGTAAATTGCAATAAGGAACTAACCCATGATATCCTTTACAAAAGGGTAAAAAACCTTTGTACAATTATACAGCATCCAAAAAGTGAAAGTACACACAACACAATATAGTGAGACATACACTGATTTCTAATAAAAATACATTTTAAGATCTTATTTGTGACACTCTAGGCTCTCAGACACATGACATTGAATTTCAAAATTCTTAAGGCACACCCATTATTTTTATTCAGTGATAGAACACAGTAAGGGGAAGGTATGTTAAGAATCTCAATATCCTTTAAATGTCTGCAACCCTCAAAGTTACAGTTCTACATGCAGCAACCTTTATCAAGTAACACCTTGTGTTTTTCTCAAAAATTTCAATCCAAAAAAAAGGCACAAAAAAGCCTTTTTCACTTAACAAAAGAAAGAATTAAAAAAAGGTTTTATTGTATTTTTCTGTGAAATTATGGGAGGGAAAAGGCTTGACAATATTTTGAGTACAGATTTCTGAAATCTATAAGGTACAGAATTATAGTAGGACAGATAATGATAGGACACTGTGATAGAGACACCCAGCCAATAAGTGGGAAGGGTCTTAAACTAAAAGAAATGAGATTTAGGTTAGATGTTAAAAAGAATTTTTTACTCTGAGGGTGGTGAAGCTCAGGAACAGGTTGCCTGGAGAAGCTATGCATGTCCCATCAGTCTGGTTAGGGCTTTGAATAACCTTATGTAGTGGAAGTTGTCCCTGACTATGGTGGGGGATGGAGCTAGATAGTCTTTAAGGTCCCTTCCAAGCCAGGACATTCTATGATTCCATGATTCAATGATTCTATGTTAGTATATATTGATGTAACCTTTCACTCAACAACCTAGCAAAAGTTCAGATTTCATCTTTTGTGCATTCAAAATGTTCCTTTTATAGCTCAAAAAAACTTAAGGCTTTGCACAGACAAATGAAACTTTGAAGAAATCCTTACCTGTCTTTGGCAGGTACAAGCTCTGGCCCCAGTTATAGAGTGCCAAGTGTTACAGTTGCAGACCAGCTTCATAGTTCAACTGCAGTTCAGAATAGATGATAGAGAACAATGGATTTATTTGCCTAGATGAGGAATCTCCTGTAACCTTGTTTTGAGGTTTAACCTCAGCCAACAACCAAGCCCCATGCAGCTGCTTGCTTACACCCCCACCAGCAGGATGGGGGAGAGAATCAGAAGGTAAAAGCTAGAAAACTTGTAGGCTGAGATAACGTCAATTTAATAGGGAAAGCAAAAGCTGTGCATAGAAGCAAAGCAAACCCAGGAATCAATTCACTGCTTCTCATGGGCAGGGGGTGTTCAGCCATCTCCAGGAGAGCAGGAGTCCTACCACACATAACCATGACTTGGAAAGACAAACGCCGTCCCTGCAAAAGTGTCCCCTTCCACCTTCTTCCCTTCAATTTATATACTGAGCGTGGTGCCATACAGTATGGAATATCCCTTTGGTCAGTTTGTGTCACCTGTCCTAGCTGTGTCTCCTCCCAACCTTCTGTGCACCCCCAGTCTTCTTGCCAGTGTGGCAGTACAAAGGCAGTGCTCACAGGTAACAAAAATGTATTATCAACCCTGCATTCAGCAGAAATCCGTAACACAGCCCCCTACTAGGCACTGTGAAGAAAATTAATTCTACCCCAGCCAAAACCAGCACTTAGTGTTGTTATCATCTCAAGAACTTGCAGTTAAAACTATCCCATGATTCAACAGTGTATCCTCAGGACACGGCTGCTGAAAAGAACAACAAAAAGTGAAAACAATTATTAAAATGTCACAGACCAAAATAAAAACAACCAAACAAAATCCTGAGAATCCACTCAGCCTAAAATACTGGAGTTCATGAAGGAAGCGATAAGGTCAAATCCACAGGAATGCTAAAAATAGTTTTACCAAAGTTACTCTAATTCCATTTTAGTTAGAAATGTCTGATGAAAAGCTTCCAC